CCCCCCAATAAAGCCCCTTTGGCATCGCTGGGCTGGTTTTTGAGGCTCCTGGGGGGGCGGAAATGGGGGGAAAATGGGCAAAATCGGGGGCAAAGGGGGGAGAAATTGGGGAGAAACGGGGAAAAAATTTTGGGGATCCCGGGCTTGATTTTGGGGCGGTTTTGGGGTGGATTTGGGGGGTCCTGGGGTTTATTTTGGGGCTCCCGTTTTGGGGGATTTTGGGGGTCCTGGGGTTTATTTTGGGGCTCCCGGTTTGGATTTTGGGGGTCCTGCGTGGATTTTGGGGCGATTTGGGGGGCTTCCAGGGTGGATTTTGGAGGTCCCGGGTTAGACTTTGGAGGATTTGGGGGGTCCAGAGGTGGATTTTGGTGGTCCCGGGGTGGATTTTGAGGTGGTTTGGGGGGATTTTGGGGGTCCCGGGGTCGATTTTGGGGAGGTTTTGGGGGATTTTGAGGGTCCCGGTGTGGATTTTGGGGCTTCCGGGGCGGATTTTGGGGCTTCCGGGGCAGATTTTGGGGCTCCTGAAGTAGGTTTTGAGGCGGTTTGGGGGGTTTTGGGGGGTCCCGGGGTGAATTTTAGGGCTGTTTTGGGGAATTTTGGGGGTCGCGAGGTGGATTTTGGGGTTCCCCTAACCCCTAACCCTAAGCATTAACCCTATTTCTCAGCGTCCCAGGGTGTTGTGACTGGTAAATAACTGTGAGCAGTTGTTCTCCTCCTCACGACAATTCGAGTGTTCTGGTGCTTTGGGATCTGGGTGAGAGGGGTCGAGGGGCCGGGAAGGGTCTTTAGGGACGGGCTGAATTAGGGTCAGAGTGTGCTTTGCTCAGGTTTTGCCATTTAAGATTTGGGGTGGCGTTGGGTGCAGTGGGGTTTTTTTGACAGGTTCTTTTTTTGATGGGGTTCTGGGGTGGAGTTGGGTTGTGATTTGAGCGCTTTAGGCCATAATTTTTTTTAACGGAAAACAATTTTTTTTGCCGTAATTCTGTCGCTGCCCGCGAGGCCGGCAGCGTTTCTATAATTTTCCCATGGTGGTCGCGATTCCCTTTCGGGAGGTGGAGACGCGGTGGATTTTTTTCCTGTCGCAGTTCTCACGTTTTGTCGGGAGGTGGCTGTAGGGAACCAAACGGGTGTCCCAGTCAGAGGCCCCGAGACAGCGGCTCGGCCCGGGGCCTCTGAGATAACGCAGGAATCCACGAAAAGACCTTGGGCAGCCTGGGAAGGAGAGAAAAGAAGCTGCTAATTCCTGCGGAGGAATACCCGTTTGAGTACCTGCACTTAAAGATAAAAATAAGACAGAGAAAACTGTTTTAAGCGAACACCAGTTACCGGTATATATTTAGCAATACCAGTGTGTTATTAAAAGGTTTGAAAGAAGTGTGTAAACTTAAAAAATGTGTGTAGCAGTATAAAAAGTAGATCCCTGCGTGCCTTCTTTTCTGTACCTTAGAAATCAATGATCTAAGTGTGACAAAAGTACGTTCATGTCAACATTGGAGGCCTTTTTTCCACCGTTTGTCCGGGGACGACGAGGACGAAGAATAAAGCCTCGAACTCATAACGCAGTCCGATCGTCTTTCTTAACAACTAAAAGACACTCCAAAAAAAGTGCAAAACCCAAAAGTGCGATTTTTAGGCGTCGGGAGGCGGCGGCGCCCGAGAACGTTTTTCCCGTGCAATTCCCTCTTGTGCTCCCGAGGTGGCAGCGCCGCTCCGCCTTTGTTAAATCGCTCGTTTTAACAGGAGTTGTGCGCAGAGATGCGCCCGTCGTTTGAGGAATCGATTTGATTTTTTCAGGTGGTTTCTGGTCCGATGCGCGTCTGCGGTGAAGTGCGGTGCCGATGGGGGCGGTTGAGGGGGTTTTAATTCCGTGTGAACTCACTTGAATGTGTGACCGTGTCCGCGCGCGGTTCGTGAGCCGCTCTCGGCACTACCCCGGACAGCGAGAGCTTTCTGGGCGGGCACCTTTGGGCTGGGAGGAATCTTCGTCCGTACTGAATTTTGGGAGGGATCGCCCCCAGATCCCTGATCCTCCCCAGACTGCCGGTACCGCCCCTGGGAGCACCCCCAGGCCCCGGTACCCCCCGGACCCCCGGATCACCCCCAGCCCCCCAGTACTGCCCGGACCCCCAGTACTGCCCCCCTCCGATCACCCCCAGACCCCGGGACCCCCCAGACTGCCTGTACCGACCACCGCATCACCCCCGGGGCTGCCTCCAGACGCCGAGATGCCCCCAAACCACCCCCCAGGACTGGCTCCCCCTTTCCGGTACCCCCCAGCATTGCCCTCTCCCCCGC